CTTTTTTTGGGAGGGAAAACCCCCAAAAAAAAATTTAATTCATCGGTGGTTTTCACCCGTCCCAAAGAAATAAACCCCAAGTTCCCAACCCCCTTTACCGGGGGGGCAGCCCCCCTTTCTTGGGCCTCCCAAAATCCCCCCGGGCCTTTCCCCTTTGGTAATGGGAGACCCTGTTCCGGGGAAACCCCGGGGTGTTCCTCCCCGGTTTTTTGGGGATGGGGGGTAAAGGTTAAAAGGTTTCCGCCAGCCCGGATTTGGGTTCCCCCCCCCCCCCCCCCCCCCTGTAAAACTAAGCTGAAAAAACAGTGTGAGGTCAAGATATGGACATTCAGGGAGCACAGACACACGCACATAAGAGTAGGATCTGGGGGAACGTGTGAAAATAGATCACTGCTCTTCCCGAGGGTCCATGACTGTTGCGATTCCCAACAACTGCGAATAGTTGATGAATCTTTAGGAGGATGGGAAAATCAGTCCACGAAGGCTCGCCCACACTCCGCACCACCCACCCTAGCTTGACTGAGTTCGCTCGGTCACGCTTGGCATTCCTCGCCACATCGCACCAAAGGAAAGCGCCAACCTCCGGTGGTGGCAAGTCATGGCCACCACACTCCGAACTCTCCGCTCACCCAGAGTAGAGGGCTCCATAGCAGACACCTTTTTAATGGCGTTCGCAGACTAGGGTGCGGTGTTCCGCCGCTTTGAGAAACGTTCTGAAAAAGACATCCCGTTATCCCGTCGCGAAACGGCTTCCAAAACTCTAAAGTGTAAGAGAAATCCCGGTTCGAGCGACTGCACCAAGCAAGGTTTGAACCCACGCCCCGCGTCCCATGTCCAAACCTCATAACGTTATGCGTATGATACGTACGAGGTTGCACCATCTATCTGAACCTTCCTGCTGCTGCTGTGCCTAAAATGTATGCATGCGGAATGCACGGGGAACACCGCTCGAAGTGTGCGAGGGGTCTGCTATCATGTGTTCCGAGAGATAACACAACTGCTGTGTGGACTAGACTACAAAAGAGCAGCTGAAAGAGACTAGACTGCCTTGTAGGCTGCATACTACAAAGTACATGTGTGCTACATGCGTGCTCGCTCATGTGCCAACTTGAACAAAGGGGGTCTGGACGTCAAACAAAAAATAAAATTTGCGACCGATCGTTCGCCAAAGCCTTCAGAAGTACGTCGTGGGGATGTGTTTGTGCATTTCTGAGGCAGGGTTCCTGCTTGGATAGGATCTGAGGTGGTAGACCATCCAACACGTTGAGCATTTGCACACCACAGCATCACCCTCCCGCCCCTCCCGTGGGCATCCGTTCATCAACGGCACACCCCTCGCACCAAAAAGCAGGATTCTGTCACCTTCAGCAGTCATGTTTCAAGTAACTCCCTCTGTGCCGAAGTCAAGGTGTGACGCAGAGGAGAGCGGGCGTAGCACGCGCACACCGTGGGTAGTGGGTAGGCAGAGGACAGCGAGGGGGGCTTGGCGTTTTTGGCCGACGCGTGGAATCTTCAGTCTTGATGCGTGGTATCTTCGGTCTTGCCACGGGGGTGACGTAAAATCGGAAAATCAGTAGTCTTTCCGAAACGGCACTTGTTGACCCGCACCACGTGCTTCTTGGGACTTAGCGGCTTAGCCAATCAGCTCCCTGTGGATTGATCGGCTGGATATTTATGGATCTAACTACCCTGCCGCTTGTTTGCATATGTACAAGCCCAGCAAGCTCAGTATGATTCATGCGGTAATTCGTTTCATTTATCGAGGGGCGAAACAACATCAAAACACAAAATTCATCATAGCTAGTCATTATGATACCAAATCATCCCGCCCATACCACAGGCCCAACAGAACTTGCCGGAACGTCCTGCATGTGGCCCGTCCTAGGTACTCTCATGTTCCCATATTTGCATCCCACTTAGAAGAAGTTAGGGCGGTGTTTCTCGATGTGAAGATGGGGGCAAGAAAGTCTGTGGGGGGACCACCATTTCAGTTTTAGACTCTATGAAACGGAAGACGGGATGGATACATAACTGCCGCTTGTAAAATAGCACGCTCCTGTCGCCTTACATGGGTTCGTCACGAAAGCTCCCAAGCCACCCCAAAAGAGCGGTTGATACTGGCTGATGGACCGAAGGCGATACCGCTTCATGTCTACTGCTGCTGTACGTTCGTATCCAAGTGCCAAGCTTGCTTGGGCTTCTTCTCCCATCACCAACCCGGCAAAAAAAAAAAAATCGGTGGGACAGGGGGGTTGGAGACAAACAATAGAATCCTGCTCTCGGGGGCAATCGATGTTGTTGTACTCTGCTTGCAGGCAGCCGAAAACAGCAATTGCCCACATCCGTGTTCCGCAAAACGCATGATTGTACATCCGGAGCCAGCAGACGAAAAGGGGTGCGCTACCATGGGCAAAGTGATACCCGTTGTGATGGCGGTTCGCACAGTCGGAAAAAATTGGCCTATCTGCGTATGCATGTGAACGCTGTCGTCCCACACAGTAGTCTAACACGTGCTGAGAGGTGACCCTACTAGATAAAGGGCAGCCTATTGTCGCCGAGACAGTCGTCCTCGAACCCGTGGCAGGTTTCCTGGGTCTGTAGGTGAAGATATAAACCATGTAGACCATGTCTGTCTATGTCTAGGAGGTCGTGTCTATCTGTCATCAGAGGAAAATGCGAGAGGACTTGGCACCGAGTTCGAATCTCGTGGTGAATGATTCAGATTCTCCTGGCCCCTCACAACAACCTAACATGAGCTCTGGAACATTTCTCCACCGAACAACGTGGAAAGACGAATACGACAATACAACACAAAAGCGTGGGTACACATGTTACTGTTCGCGGTCGCCACGCGGTACGTATCCTCGCCCTGAGGACCAACCATATCTCGTGCCGGATACGTCGCACGCGAAGCATCTCCACCTACAGTATGTGTGCTTGGGGGGAAAAGCATGGCAAACGAAGCCGCTTTGTGTCTGTGTCTCTTCGGCTGAAGAGGCGAGTCTCTCCCAAGATCCAAGTAACCCAAAGACTTCTTGCGCCTAACATTAGGCTTTGTTTGTTGCGCAACAAGTGATGCTTGTATGGATGTGTTTTCTTGTGGACAAGAACTTCATGAAGCCCGAAAGGGAAAAAAACTAGACGGTAAATGCAGAAGATGGATTTTGCAACCCCCCGCCTCCCCTGGCGCCAGCACCTCTGTCACTGTTGTACAGCACCGTTGTGCTTAGGCCTCGCTCGACCGCTAAAACCGCGACAAACCATCAAAGTCACCGAAAAAATAACACCACGCAACCAGTGCCGATCAGCCAGCCAGTCGGAAAATCGATGACGGTCAAACCAAAAGGAGACGAGAAAAAAAAGCCGACGACAACGTTTTGGGGGCGCGACTCAAGCTTGTTCGCGACAAATCTAGCGACAACCCAAACGCTCGATCGGGCATCCTGTTGCGTCCCGGCTTAGTCTAGCCTGCACTCGGCCGCTCGGGCATGTCCCTCCAGCCCCTCCATCCTGGCAAGGTGGACCGCGTCCCTGGAACAGCGACGATAGGCCGAAGAAGGCAAGGGACAAGGGCGGGGTGGGGGGCTTACTCATGTCAACGTATGCCGTAGTCGTTGTAGACCTTGCATCCCTACAGTACCGGGACGGAGCGATATTTCGCCGGCCCAGGCCACGTTTCGTAAGGATAAAGCTGATCACCATACTTGCGTTTGCCGTGCCAATCCAGATGAGGGTGGCGTGGGGGGGGAGGCGAATCAAATCAGCACAGGATCAAAACGTCGATTTCCGTAAGAGGAGCAGGGTCTTAAGTAGGGCGCAATCGGCCAGATCCACAAGCACGACCGACCGTGTACGTAGCAGAGAGCTATGTGTTTGACACCGGGATCCGCGTTAACGGCCAAAGAGAATGAGGTGCTCGGAGGAGGAGGAGGAGGAGGAGGAGGCCGTACTTTTTCCGCCGACTAGGTTATGCTTCGTGTTTGGCCTGTGGTCTGTGACCACCGATACCTGGTTCCTCTCGTCTTCAAAGACCGGTGCGGATGTTGCGGGGTACGCGAAAAAAATGGATTTGAACGTCAAAGCAAGAGCTACAGCAACGAACCAACATGGATCAAGAAAGGTGCCGGTTGGCCATGCCACCGGAAAGTACGGCAGGAGCATCTGCAACTACAGTACCACATAGTGTTGAGTGGAGGGAACAGAAACGGAGCCGGGCATATGGTTGGATTACTCGTCAGGCTACCGTCTAACTACATGACAATTTTGAGCCCAATCCACCACGTTTTGCCCCCCCACCCCCGGCTTGGGGAAACGCACCGGACAAGCGCTTGCTCCGGCTGAAGACACTCGTGAGATTAGGGTCTTACTACATTCGTTTTGAGCCAAACAACCCCCGTTTCGCCCCCTCCCGCCCCAAAACACCCCCCGCGTGAAGACTCACCGGACAAGCGAGGCTAGGGTCCATAGCTGGCCATTTTGCCCAAACGTATCACGCTTTGCCCCCCCACCCCCCGCTTGGGGAAACGCACCGGACAAGCGCCTGCTACGGCTGGAAACACCGGTGAGGCAAGGGTCTACTACATGATAAGTATGCGCCAAGCACCCCCCGCTTGTGAAAACTCACCGGTCAACAGGCGAGGCTAGGACAATTTTCCCAAACACACCACGCTTTGCGCCCCCGCCCGCCCCCCAAACTCACCGGACAAGCGCCTGCGACGGCTGCGCCTCGTCGATTCGCATCCACGTCCTGACGCGTAGGAACGTCATGACCGACAGCCCTCCGGTGTACCTGGCGGTGCCGCCGGTGGGCAGGACGTGGTTCGGCCCCGCGCCGTAATCGCCAAGCACCTCGGCCGCCCGTCGCCCGATGAAGAGGCCACCGTAGTGGAGGCAGCTTTTGGTTTTTCCATCATGTCATCATCAGATCGTTGTCATCACCATATCGTGAGACCGGTAAAAGAGAGACGGGGGGGGGGGGGAGAGGTTATGATCTGGGTTGTGCGTTGGAGGTAGCGTCGTTTTGTCATCATCAGATCGTGAGATTGGTAGTAGAGAGAGGAGAGAGGTCGGAGAGGATCTGATCCGGGTTTAGCATGGGGTGCAGCTCTTCGTTTGGAAACGTCGAAAGGGCCTTTGTTGGGTGGTGGTGGCTACGCCGCGAAAACATTGCTCATGATCAAAGGGAAGTTTCGCTCAATGGAAACGACAACAAAAACAATTGATACGGGAAGAAGTGGAGAACAAGGTTCTAATGGGCTGCTTCTGGTGTCAGGCTGGGTCCAAGGCTACATCTCCTGAAGGACAATCACCGGGGAGCACGGGGGTGACGTCCGTAAAAATCAGGCCTATGGTCAGACGGGAGGAGAGTACATATCAGGCCGGCATAGCGGTAGACGCTACGGACGACGACAGAGGCACTAAAGCGAAACAAGTATACACCCTTCACCTGTCTGCCACTTTCTGCGAGTCCTCCGTCTGGATCTCCAAGTGCTCCGGTGCCACTAGATCACTGACCGCTACCGCTTCGGCGACGTCCTGAGAGGAACCACACCGAACGAGACACAAAAAGACGCGATCAGCTACGCCGGGCCATTGGGGACAATGCAGGGCTCGGTTCGCGCTGCTAAAGTAGGATTTATGCACACCCAGTCGAGTCTTGCCACACAACGGAGCCCCAGGGGTGCATGCACACAGCAACGTCGAGAATGCAAAACCATGCCGCATCGAGAGAGAACATCACGCAGCGAAGAATAACCCAAGGCCCGATGACACACAAACGCTGCTGTGCTAAACAAGGGAGCCAAACGCAACGAGGCACAGAAAAAAGGGGGAAAACAGAGACTTCCCACAACTTTTCGTCAAGTATCGATCAGACCGAGCTGTTATCGCAGGTCAGCCGGCAAGCGCGGTCCATGTTTATTGGAGAGACACAAAAACATACAACTACAGATTCACGAGCAGAAGCATATAAAATGCAGCAGGAAATGCCACGTGGTGGTGCAGTCTTCTTTCTCATTGTGCCAAGTACTCCGAATCCGGAGACTAAACCTTGTCGTTCGACCTCCTCCTCCTCAGCCCCACGGCCGGCGGGAGCCCGACGACTTTTTAGAACCGTGTTCGTCAATCATTCAGCTGCATGTATTTTCACAAGTCAGACGACTAAGCGCAGACGTTACATAGTTGATGGCTCACGCACACGCAGACAACAGACGTCTTTTCATGGGTGTGCCGGTTAGCGCGCTCGATGCAAATAATAAAGGCACACGAAAATGGAGAGATGGAAGAAGCGAGAGAGAGAGAGAGAGAGAGAGAGAGAGAGATAGAAGAAGCGAGAGAGAGAGAGAGAGAGAGAGAGAGAGAAGAAGCGAGAGAGAGAGGGAGAGAGAGGGAGAGAGAAGGAGGAAGCGGGTGGGTCTCACCTTGCAGACGACGGCGAAGCCCTTCTTAACGGCCTCCAAGGCCGTGTCCCTCGTCGGCAGCACGGCCAGCCTCTTCTTCAGGCAGGCGTTCACCTCCGCCACCAGCAACTCGCTCGTGCTCACCAGGATGGGCCTCGCCTCTGTGTCGTGCTCTGCCTGGCCTCCCGATCGACGCCCACACACACACGCAACGGAAAATGCAAGATAACGTACGACCGCACGAGACCGTCAAGAGAGTAATAGTGGACGTGAAACCGTGTGGTTCATCCATCACGTTTGGCATGCGGATGGAATGTCCGGGTTGGGATGGGGGGCAAACGGCCCATTGTTTCCACACGGACGACGCCTCGGCGTGGGCACGAAAACTCAACCTTCGCCGCTATCCTGAAACAGCTGAGAGATTTATCAGCAGCTAGACACAGAAATATGCATGCATGCCCCACAGCAGATCGCCTGCAAAACATTGAAGCTACGCAGCAGAGCCTATATATATACGTGACCAGCAAAACAGAGGTGGACGCAGAAGAAGAGGCACACCTCGATTCGAAAACGTTCGCCGATGTTTTGAAACACCAACCGAGACACTCAGCAGCTACTATAGGTGGACTACCTGCGTTGTGAATCAACAACCGACAGAGATTCAGCAGCTAGCTGTAGTTAGGCTATCTGAAACAACCGAGATATTCAGCAGCTCTATAGACTATGGGCGTTCTGAAGCAGCAATTGACACATTCAGCAGGTGTTGTAAGCTATTACCTGGGCGAGTAGATCGGCCGCGACGGTCTCGACGTCCGCCGTGGAGTCCGCGATGACCAGGACCTCGCTGGGCCCGGCAAGCATGTCGATCGCACACCTAAAAGTACGCACACGGAAAAGAAAACAACAGCGATCGAGGCGGAAAAAACACACACCGCGCGTGTGTCCCACACCAAAAGTCGGCAAGCATATCGATGGCACACACAAGCAAACGCGGGAAAGAAACAACAACGATCATGTGGGACCAAAACACCACTGGGTGTCCCACACTAAGTGTGCATCAGCGAGCCGCCCCGCAAACCGCAGGAGTTCGGCCTCCGATCCCGCGGGTGGGTGCGGCGAAGACGAAAACAAGAGGCAAGCGATTTATTACGCCACGCGCCATGCAAACATCGAGGCGGCGGTGCGCGTGTAAAAAAACTCACACCAAACAGCATGACAGCAGTCATCGCCACGTGTTTGTGTTCTCAGGGCAACAAAGTGCACAGGATGATATTTTGGAGAGAATTTTATCCATCCCTTGTTGGTTTGGCAAATAAATACCTTCCCGAGACGAGCGACTTGGCAGCGGTGACCCAATTGTTGCCAGGGCCCACAATGATGTCGCACGGAGGCACCCCGCCCACCCTAGCAGCGGTCAGGGCACGAGTAACGCCGGTAGCGTGGGGGTAAAAGCCGTTTGTTGCACGCGGAGAACCAAAAGGCATGAGCGACGACAGCCACGCCCAGGGTACTAACAACGCTGGTTTGGCGAGCGCCTACACATAGACACGACTCGCCTGCCAGAACAGATAACAAATCATTGCAAATCATTCGGAACAGAATTGCCAACAAGAGAACATGGCAAACAAGATATAAGCTTGCCCGCTTCTTCCGGGATTGTTTTACCACCGCGCACAGTCAAACTCGAAGACGGGCGCGGCACGAGACCAAGAGGACCACGCAAGAACCTACAGACAGGTTGCAGCTACTCTCCGATCCGCTCTCACCCGAAAGCCATGGCAGCCACCGCCTGGGCCCCTCCCACGCAGAGCAGAGCGTCCGCCCCGGACACGTGGGCCGCCGCCACCGTCGCAGCCGCGGGCCTCGGCGATGCCACAACCACCTGCGATCGCACGCGCGGCGGGCAGGAGGGGGTGGGGGGGGGTGGGTGCAAAGGCACAGTTGGAAAATCGGACAAACTTTTGAGCAGCAGCGTGTGAGCGGGCGGGATGGGGGCAGGTGGGCGCAAACGTACAGCCGGAAATTTGCGGACAACTCTTGAGCGCCAGTCAAGCGTGTGTTTACACCTACCTCGTCCAGGTGTGACTTGACTACTGGTGGGGCTGAGTAGTAGCTGGGCCGGACCGCCCTCCCCCACACGAAATTCCCAACACACACCACCACCAACGGACGCCCTATGATGTGCACTGCCAGTATCCCACCTACCTCCTGCAGGTACCGCTACACACGTGCACAACATCACTCACTCTGACCGTTGATCTGACGCTATTCGTAGCCGCTGTATTCACCTCCCCCCCACCCACCCCCCTAAAGCACAACACAAGGCATTGCATGCATGTCAGTGGCAAAAAAAAAAAGCAGCGGGGACAACATGCCCCGCGTGTGCGCGACATCCCATACAACATACCTTGGAAACCCCGGCGGCTCTCGCGGTGACGGCCGTCATAATCACCGACGAAGGCAGGGGGTACCGCCCGCCTGGGGCGTAGCAGCCAGCGACGGACATGGGGCTGACGGTGTGACCGGCCATGCCGCCCGGGATGGGGACGGAAGCGTCGGTGAGGGCCGCGCGCTGCGCCTTCGCGAAGGTCTCCACGCGATCCTGGCGGGGTGGGGTGTGACGGGTAGGGGGGTTGGAAAGGGCTGCTGAGCTAGAGTACGTGTTGTACTTTTTCGAGATGGGGGTGGGCTACTAGTGCTGTGCTGTTTGGTAAAGGAAACTGTGTAGGTACCAAACACATAGAGAGCACAGGTGTGCACGCGCGCAGAGGTTGCTACGCAGTCGAATCACCAAACACACACACCGAGACAGACGTGTGCATACTACGCACGGAGGTTGTCATGCAGTCGAGAGAAGTACTGCTGCGAGGAAAGGTGACTAGAATTGGGTAACCAGCCCCCGTTCATCTGGTATAAAGGTGTGCGACACGTTGGGGCTCCCCGGAGAATATTGCGCCGCTCTCAGCGCTTGAGGTGTTTAGGGATTTCGGCCTCAGGTACGGGGAGAGCCGCAGGCGCCGTGTGGGCCAGCCCCGACAACACATCAATCTATTACGGGTTGAACCCGCGTTTCGGCAAGCACCATTCTGCGGGACCCCCTCATAAGTACGAACCCGCCTTCCAGTTGTTTACAGTTGTTGAGAAAGAAGAGAGAAAGAGATACGGGGGGGGGGAGAGAGAGGAGATGGACGCGGCTGGGTACCCGTAGTGTTGATATTCGGCAAATGAGACTCAAGCGCGGGGCACGAAGCACAGCAGGAGCACACAGCAAAGGTGATGCGCTACATAGAAGGTCAAGTAAGGCGTTCTATCTTTGCTCAACAACGTACGGGGTGAATAGTCTACACCCCCAGCACAGAGTCTCAAATGTTGCTTAACACCACACAGCTTCGGTAGACGCTTTCCGGCAAGGGCCCGAAAAAATACAAAAGAGAAGAAAACGAAAAAACGGGCTCGCACGTCCACTTGGCGACGCTACCTACCTACCTACCGCCGCCGCCAGGACTTGGACCGCAGCCACATGCAGCGCGTTCATCATCACACTCACACACCTTGGTTCTGACGAGAACTTGTCTGTCCTCCTCGGGGAGCTCGTCGAACGCCGCCTTCATCTCGGCCGGCCCCAGCAGCAGCGGGTCGCTCTCGCTCTTGATGTCCCCGAGTCGCAACGCCTGCGCAACCAGGCTCTTGGTGCCGCCGCTCTCCACGTCGTCGACAATCGCCTGGTTGGTATTCGTTCATAGGACAAAAAACAGAAACGCCAGGGGGGTTGGCATATCATGCGACATCCACCGCTGAGGATTGCACCGCATACATGACGTGCCGAGAAAAGCAGCGCATGCTAGCTACTGTACAGTAGCTTTCCCCGAGCTTCCTCATCAAAGATCGATCGCGCCGCAGCCAATCAGCAACCGCACCGCGTCGACCGGAGTACCACGCGGGCTGCCTCCATCTTGCTGGGTTTGTTTGCATGCCTGACCACGGACCACAAGCTGGCAAGCCTAACGCTAATTGATTTCGGCTTCTTTAGACCGCAAGCACCGGTGCTGATGGCCACAAGCACCGGTACGCAGGCAGCAGCAGCAGAAGCAGCAGCGGCAGCGGTGGTGTGTGGTCTTACACGACGCCATGCCACCCCATCTCAAAAAAATTAGCAGCATCGCCGGCTGGGTCTATCTTTGCTCTTGCTTGCTGTAGCTTTCGACCGGCATTTGGTCGGCTGTGTTTCTACGTGTGGTAGTTGATACCGGAGATGGTAGGAGATGGGTGATGCGAGCACATCGAAAATGGCCGTGTCAACCATTGCAGCCTCTGCTGCGGCACGCTTCGGGAGTTTGTGTGCACTCAAAATCGCCAGGAGCCCATCTTTGTTATCCTTGCTGTTGCTGCTTCCGACTGGCACCTCGGTCGACTACAGGGCTACAGCAGCATCGCGAATGGGGAAGTCATCGAATCTTTCAAGGAAACCACGAGTACCGAGTACACCGCCGTCTGCTGTACAACATGTACCCATCATGTTTGCGGAGCGAGTTGATGCCATACATGCCGCCTATCGAGGCCTGCTGTGGTGTTTGTTTCAACAAACCCACCTACATACGGTTGTACAAGGTGCAAAAACCCGATGGGCTTCTTATTCCATGCAAGCCACGTGCACCGCCGGCTGCTCACCTTCGCTTGCTCCCGAGCAACAGGGTCCACGGGGTCCGCCTTGACCGTAGGAACCTGGTCCACTGTCATAACCTTCAACTCCGGCATGTCGGACTCCGAGGCCATGGTGTCGGTCTCGTCTGTACCGGCAGCAGCAACAGCAGCAATACAGAAGGAAGCGGGAGAAGCACCGCTGCGTCGAGGACCAGAATCGACACCAGCAGCAGCGTGATACTTACGGCGGCGGCCGGCGACAATGGCGGCCGTGGTGGTGGTGCGGGTGAAGCACACGTCAGACCGAAGGGGTGTGCTCGAGGAGGGGTGCCGTGGTTGCAAGGACGTTGGCCATGAAAAGGGCCGGCTAGTCGGCACGAAACTCGCGGCCCGGGTCGTGAAACGCCAGAGAAACAGAATGCTGGTGAGGTTTACCACCCTCTCGAGGACGGAAGGTGGCATTCGAGAACGGGAGGGGGACTGTCGCCCCGTCGCCCCTGATCCTTGCTGCGTTCATGATCGAATGCTGGCTGAACCCGGTTAAAGAAGGCCTTCCAGGTGCTTGCGAAACCTCAGAGGAGCTCTGCTTCCTGCCTCGCTGAGCGAGGCACGCACGCAGAGACCGGGGCGCCGTGCCCCCGTGCAGAGCGGAGCAAGGGAGCATTCCGATGGTTTGCATCCGGAGGTCTATGGTGACACGGACGACATGGATCGTGCTGGGCGTGCAGCTGCTTGCGGGTGAGTGCAACCAGCCGCTTTGTACGAGTCGATGGGTGTGCTTCAAGTATTACTACACCAACCAACAGCAGGTGGCACATCTGCTTGTAGTTCATGTTGTTGGCGGGCTTGCGGTGCGGTACGGCAGCAGGCCATTGTGTCTGGACAGCAGCGGCGGGTGGTGCTAGCTGCATCGTGCAGTCCCTGCTACCCAGGAAACGGCGGGGATCATCGGCGACAAGCGAGGAGACTTTTGAATTTGTCGCAGCAGGGAAACAAACACGTCCCCTGTGTGTCCTGTTTTGCACACTGCACCCACTCTGCATACTTCAACAGCTGCCCACTTGGCGCGCTGTGGATGATGGGATCTCAGCCGGCAGGAGAACATGCTTGCATGTCGCGGTCGCGACTGCGTTCGTTGTGCAGTCCTCAGAAAGGGGCTATGGGGAATAAATGCGTCTCAAATTGAAAGTTGAATTGCTGCATGCGGGGCCTACGATCTTTTCCCAGATCTCAGGTTGTAGTGCTACACACGCATTTATTTGGAGGCGCAGGTCAACATTACTCTTTACATGGCGCTGCTATGCTCCCAAACGGTAGAGGGCGCACTTTGTTCCATGAAGCATTCCTGATGTTACTCGTCTCTCATGGCGCCGCCATCATCGATGGTGTGGCAGCAGCTGTCGTTCCCAGCTGCTCTCCTGTGATTCACCGACATGCTCCACAAATTCTCTTGTCCTCGACGTTTTTGACAAGCAATGCAAGCCCTCCCTACGGCAGCAGTATCTGTTGACGGAAGTCCTCCTTGGTTCTGCGGAAGAAACGCGCTCAAGAGGTGTGTGCGGTACTGCCAGCGGTACCCATGCATACCTGCGAAAAACAGAAAATACCCTTCGAAATATGACACTAAGGAAGGCGTCGCCCCCCTTTGTTAATTCGCCCAAAAATACATCTTCTCTTCCCGTCCAAAAGGATTGTGCGAGGGCTCAGCGTTTGCGTCAAGCGCCGCCGGCACGCCGGCCCACGCGGGGGGGAGCAACAACGCCCAAGGAAATGGCGGGAGGGCAGGGGCAGGGGCGGCGATGTCCGCAAAGACCTCTTCGCTGCTGTCGTCCGCGAAGAGCGGCGTGAGAGACTTCTTCGCCACGGCCTCTTCCGCTAGCGACGGGTGAGAGCGAGACGCGCCGACGGGGGCGGGGCGGGACGGGAGAGCGGCGTGAACAACGGCCTTCTGCTTTTGCGTGAAGGCTGGGCATGTTGTTCTCGTTTTTGTCGGGGGGGGGGGGGGGGGGTTCGTCCCAACACGGCGGGACAAATCCGCCCCTCTCCTGTTCTGTTTGGAGGCGTTCAACCGGACACGGCGCGCTCGAGTCGCAAGACAACAGCAGTACAGCAGTAGCAACTCGGACTCGGGGGTTGGATGATGCCGGTGTCGTTCAATAGGCGAATATGTTGGTGCTGCTCTCGTCGGCTAGGTTGGGTTAACAGCTAGCTGGGTGGTGATGGCTGCTCTCGTCTGTCAGTCGCTTGCCACGAATGCAGATGACACCAAGAGCTACGATTGTGTGCGGGTCAGGTACATGTACATCTCTTGACTGTGACGAACGGTACCTCATGACCACACGCGGACCATTACGGACAAGAGGCATGTTGTCGATTCTCGTCATTTTCTTTGACTGTCCTTGTGTCCAGAACCGGGTTCGGGGGGTGACAGAGAATGCGAAGGGGGGGGGGGGGGTGTCGTCGTGCATGGCCAACCTAGATTCGCATTCTGCACTCGAAAGATTGCATTGCAATCCCTCTCTGGGATGGCGCTTGTTTCTACACTACCGGCTAATAGCTTAAGGTTCTGCTGCTGCTGTTGCTGCTTCACAATGTCTCCAACAACCCTTACGTGCATCAGCAAAACACGCCGCCGGTACCGAGGAGGAGGAGGAGGAGGGGGGGTAGGGGGTGCGCGGATGGTCAGCACCAGGGGGGGGGGCGAATGGAAAAGGTGGCAAGGGGGTCACAAAAGCTGCAGCGGACGCGAAAGGTTGCGCCGCCTCTAGCATCGGGGGAAGCGGGGGCGGGGGGGGCGGCGCCAGTGTTGGACCTGATTCAGCCGCACAGTGTCTCGGCCGAGGAGGTGGCCGGCTTTTACGGGTGCACAGTGGGCAAGGCAAGTAGGGAGTGAGGGGGGGAGGGGGGGTGGGTGGACTCTTATGTTTTGCATGCCTTAACGGTTACACCAGTGACCACGTATTCTCGAAAGGACGGAGCATTGTTCCCGCAGGACGACCGATCTACCGACGGCCAATCGTTCCTTCCTACTTCGTATTTTGCCAAACGTGACTCAAATATCTTTGCCCTATCGCCGGGGGGGGGGGGGGGTGTACTCATGTAAACGCATGCCGCGGTCGTTAGACCGTTGCCTTCCTCTCCCCGCCGGCCCCTTTCGATGATCCTCCCTCCCCACCTACCCTGGACTACTCCCCGTCATATCCTTTTCCTCTTCGAAATTGCTATCCCCTC